TCCGAGTCTTAAGGTCGGTCAAAAATGGGGTGTCTACACTCGGTGTTCGATTGGCATGCATTAAAAATCATTTGCCGATCACACTTTTTGTTACTTGCCAATAACCCTTCTCTGAGGAGCAAGACCCAATTGTTGATCCTTGAATTGGCCATGCATGTTGTTCTTAAGCCGTTTCATGTGGACGACGACGTCACCATAAGGATGGCTACAGGGTTGTCGAACTGAAGTTGGGGCAAGTTGACCATTCAGTTGTTGAACCACAACACAATTCTTTAATTCCTATTAATTGTTAGCACATGCACATGTTTCAAGAATCAACTTTAAAATAAACTTTGTGAGGCAATAAATTAACCAAGAAAGTCCCAGAGTGGGTTTGGCCTAGCAACTCATGTTATATTCTTGAAAAGCTGCTCTCATACAAAAAAGTGTAAACCCCATTTTTAAAGAGAGAAAATAAAGACACAAAAGGAGATTTATGAATTATGTTTTGTTTTAAAGTTTTTCCATCAATATTCACCATGAACAAAATTTTTCACAGAGTTTGTAAGCAAACACATATGTATATACAAATCAAGAACAAATTGTAAAGTGGTTTCATAATAAGTTTAATCAAAGAGAAAATAGATCACCATTACAGTGTTGTTAGTTGAATTTTTACTTACAGTAACAGTAACATGTTTGCTTTTTACTTTATTGAACTCTCTCAGACGATTCCCATAGATGGCACCAATTGTAAGATTAGGAAAATCCTCTCACATGGATTGTAGAGATCCAATGAAGAGATGAGCTTTGCCCCTGTAGATTTGCAAAAGAGATGAGGCACTCCGATGATAAAGTTAGCTACTGGAATCAAAGAAGGAAGATGAAGAAAATGAAGAGTGTTTGTGTGCTGTCTGGCAGAGAGATGAGGCATTCCTACTCCTTGGGATGTCCTCATTTTATATAAATGTGGGGTATGATATTTGCTTGGTAGATCTTTGTTTGGTGGGCTTGCTTGTTTGGGCAAGGCCTATTGTCAGACCTTCTTTGGGTTAAACCCAATAAGCTGATTTTATTTTATTTTATTTATTTTATTTTATTTTTTATTTTTTTTTCTGGCTCCCACATACAGTAGTGTTTGACAATAAAGTGATAAATTATAAATATCAAAAAGTGTAAGGATGAGGTAAGGTTTGATAAAGTTGAAAACTAGTATGAAGATTGAAAATTAAGCATTAATTAAATTCAATTTTTTAAATTGAAAAGCTGTTTGACAAAAATTTAAGTCCTGAACTAAAAATAAATTATTTGATATGTATAAAATCAAATTTAAAATTTATTATTTTCAAATTATATATTTTGTAAGTGTGGTAGGTAGAGTTGAGTGTGTTAGGTGAGAGTTGAGTGTGGTAGGTAGATGTAAGTGTGTTAGGTGAGAGTTGAGTGTGGTAGGTGAGTATGTTTTTCTCTTCTATATATAGGAGAGTCATTGTAAACATTAATAACAATCATAATACATACAATTTATTCTCTTTGTATTTCTCTTTTTATACATCAACTTTAATATATTTCAATTCTTATATTGTGCTGGTATTGGTAATAGTTGTGGTGATGGTATGGTGGTGGTGATGGTGGCATGGTGGTGGTAGAGATAACGATAGTAGTGATATTTTAATGTGGTGATACTTATGGCAATAATGACAATTGTGATGAAGGTACTGACAGTAGTGGTGGTAGAAATAGTAATAGTAGTGGTGGCATGATGGTGGTAATGGTAGTGGTAGGCGGTGGTGGACTGGTAGTGGAAACAATAATGATAGTAGTGGTAGTGCTGTTGGCGGTGGCATGATGGTGGTGATAGTGATAGCGGTGGTAATGGCGATGACTTTATATATATATCAATGCATGTTTACGTTTTATAAATTTATTTAGAATTAAGTAAATTTTAAAATAAATTTCAAATGATTTAAAATTTTCTTAAGTTTTAACTTACATTTTAAGATGTACTTAAAATATGATTATCAAACATGTTTAATTAATTATTAATTAATACATCCAATTTTAAATGATGAATCAAACTATCAAACACTCTTAAAACTGTCACAAATATTCTTTTCACCTAGAAAAACACACACCAAAAAAAAAACAAAAAAAAAAAAAAATTCTTTCTGGCTTCAGGAGATCTGACTTTCATCCTTTAGGATTCATGTGTTCACCGTCTGGATTTATTACCATTTTTTTTCCTAATATTTATTATATATTCACATTGTATAATTATATATTAAATAATTAATAAATTTTTTTGATTCAAAGCAGAAAAAAGGTAGTGATTTTTTATTTTATTTTTTTTATGAAAAACAAAATTTAAAGGCTTTTTGTCTTAAAGTACCTAAAAATTAAAATAATATGTAAATTTTATTAAACACACACCCAAAACAAAAAAGAAAAATAAATAAAACAATTAAAAAAAATAAAAATATGGGGCAAACACGCGGACCACGCTTGAACGCTTCAAGTTCCAGTGGCATTATAAAAAAGAAAAAGCAGGTGAAAGGAACGTGCACCACGCTTTTAAGTTCCTCCCTGGTTTATCACTGTATAAGGAAAATAATTATTAAATGACCTATTACATTATTTAATATTTGTGGCAATCATGTTATAATTGTTTGGAATTTGTTTATTTAGTATATTTTTTCAATTTTTTTTATAAAAAGATATAAAAAAAATAAACAGGCAATGTAATCAAAATAAATATATTTATTAAATAAGTACACTTATTTACATCATTTCTAAACAACTCTTACAAAGCCCATGATCATTCAAGCACTAAAAAAAAATCTTGGGCCACATAATGGGGGTGGTTGTTTGGACTTTTTTGAGCTAACTTATAATTTTTAGTTTTGAAAAAATTATTTTGGAAAAAAAAAATTCTTTCTGGCTTCAGGAGATCTGACTTTCATCCTTTAGGATTCATGTGTTCCCCGTCTGGATTTATTACCATTTTTTTTTCCTAATATTTATTATATATTCACATTGTATAATTATATATTAAATAATTAATAAATTTTTTTGATTCAAAGCAGAAAAAAGGTAGTGATTTTTTATTTTATTTTTTTTATGAAAAACAAAATTTAAAGGCTTTTTGTCTTAAAGTACCTAAAAATTAAAATAATATGTAAATTTTATTAAACACACACCCAAAACAAAAAAGAAAAATAAATAAAACAATTAAAAAAAATAAAAATATGGGGCAAACACGCGGACCACGCTTGAACGCTTCAAGTTCCAGTGGCATTATAAAAAAGAAAAAGCAGGTGAAAGGAACGTGCACCACGCTTTTAAGTTCCTCCCTGGTTTATCACTGTATAAGGAAAATAATTATTAAATGACCTATTACATTATTTAATATTTGTGGCAATCATGTTATATTTGTTTGGAATTTGTTTATTTAGTATATTTTTTCAATTTTTTTTATAAAAAGATATAAAAAAAATAAACAGGCGATATAATCAAAATAAATATATTTATTAAATAAGTACACTTATTTACATCATTTCTAAACAACTCTTACAAAGCCCATGATCATTCAAGCACTAAAAAAAAATCTTGGGCCACATAATGGGGGTGTTTGTTTGGACTTTTTTGAGCTAACTTATAATTTTTAACTTTGAAAAAATTATTTTGGACTGTTAGTTAAATTTATTTAAAATAGTTCTGATTCTAACAACTTATTTTAACTAAAAAAAGTTGATTCTGAGAAGCTGTCCACCCTTTACTTCTGATTATCAGCTTTTGCCGTGGACATGTTAATTTACGGTTATACTCTTCGATTTTTTTATTTTTTTTAAAATAAAAAAAGACCCAAATGGACTATAGAATATTATTATTATTTTTTATGAGAAATGTAGATAAATAGTGAATAACAAAAAATAAAAATTAATTGAAAAAGTTATTTCACAACTTATTTAATAAACATTACTCAACAACTCAAATTTATAATCTAACCGTTATACTAAACAGATTAAAAAATTGACTTTGATTACCTCAAATCTTATCTTACAATTCATATCATTTGTCACAGTTTCAACCGCCACTCCTAGCCCCTCTTTTCTCACATAACTCCTCCTTACTCAACCTCGAAAGCCTTTCTTGACTGTAGTGAAATCACGACGTAGGAATAAAAAAAAAAAAAAAGAAAAAAAGCAACAACGATTGATACTCTCAAATTTGGAGGTTTTCATACCTTTTAAAATAATCTGAACTAATAAAAAATAAAAATAAAAATAAATTCCAAATCATTTTTGAGAGTTACAAAGAATTCACAAGGTAGGCTCATGATACAGACCCTAGTGGGATGATCTTCACTGATAATCTCCAGTGAGGTGTCATTCTCACATTAGCCGGAAAAAAAAAACAAAACAAAATAAAACTCCAGTGAGGTGTCACTCCCACATTAGTCGGAAAAAAAAAACCAAAACAGCAGCAGCAGTTTTTGAACCAATGAAAAACAACCTCCAATAACCCCCACGGGTGTTAGGCATTTTTGTAAGGATCACTGAAGCTAGTGATGATGAGTAGTGTCCAAATATTTGGAGAGATGTGATGTGACATTGTTCTTTTTTATTGGAAGTTGTAACCACTCAAGTCATTGAAACAAGCCTCCATTGACTAAATTATTTTTTAACAATAGGTATCATAAAATTTTTTTCATGAAAATAATTATAAAAATTTTATAATTCTTAAATTATATTTAAAATAAAATAATATATATTAATTAAGGTAATTCAAGAATTATAAATTTTTTATGATTATTTTCATAAAATTTTTTTTATAATCCCTAATTTTTCTTATTATTTTTTTATATATTTTTTCTTCATATTTCCCTTAATTTTAAAACCCTTCCTATTTCAGTTAAATTTTTTTTTAAAAAATTATAAAAAAATAAAATAAAATTATTATACTAAAATGTCACACTCATAAAATTATTTATAAAATTAGCATTGATTTGTTATTTTTCCTTAAAACCCTTAACCCCTTTTATAAAATTGCTCATTTGCAACCTCTGATAACTAAAAATGGCTACCACCACCACCACTCTCCATACCTACAAAGTCCACCACGCTCGAGCCACCACTAACAAACTTCACTTCCTCCTCCACTTCACCGCCGTACTATCCCTCCTCTACTACCGAATCTCCCACCTCTTTAACGGCGGCGTACCCTCACTCCCATGGTGTCTTCTCACCACCGCCGAGCTCATCTTCACCTTCCTCTGGTTCCTCTCCCAGGCATTCCGGTGGGGACCTCTCACTCGCACCGCCTATCCGGAAAAGCTCTCGGGCAACTCAGAATTGCCCGGGGTGGACGTGTTCATCTGCACCGCCGATCCTAAGAAGGAGCCGACAGTGGAGGTGATGAACACGGTGTTGTCGGCCATGGCGCTCGACTATCCGCCGGAGAAGCTGGCAGTGTATTTGTCAGACGACGGTGGTTCGCCGTTGACGTTGTATGCGATGAAGGCGGCGCGTGAGTTTGCGAGGTGTTGGATTCCGTTTTGTAGGAAGTATGGGATTAAGAGCAGATGTCCTGACGCGTATTTTTCGGCTTTTGGAGATGAGGAACGTGTTCTGAGGAGTGATGAGTTTAGGGCTGAGGAAGAACATATCAAGGTACAGAATTTGATTAATGTGCAATTACAAAATTAGTAGAAGACTCTGTTTAGATCAAATTTTGAGTTTATGGAGGGAAAAGAAAGAAAAGAGAAATGAAAAGTAAAAAGTACTGGTTTTATTTCTTTTTTTTTTTGTCCTTTCTATTTTTAGATTACATATTAATTTTTGAGATATGTTTTTGTGTTTTTAATTTGATTTAATTTTTTGTTTTTTTAGGGTTTTGGAAGTTTTAAAGAAGACCTTATTTTAAATCGTGATTTTTTTTTTCTTATTTTGGAATTTTTAGTTTAATTCCTTTGTAGTTAATTCCTAGCATTATTGTTGTAAGTTAATAGTCAATGCTGCACATTTGAGTCACATTACTTTACAACAACAAAAATCATAAATATATATTTTTTAAAATTGTTATATTTTTGTTTGTAATTTTTAAAATTTTTGAAAACAAAAATACTTAAGTACTAAACAGTGGTGGAGCCAGGCTTTTAAACTGGAGAAACTTAAAAACCCATAAATTCCAGGAAAAAAAAAACATTGAAAACAAGAAAAATGTTTGGTTCCAATTTTCTAAAAATTAATTAATTTTTTTTTCCATGTTTTTTGTTTTTAATGATTTTTAAACTATTTTAAGTAATTTTTTTTAGAGAAAATTAGAGAAACATCCCTCTCTAACTTTATGTTGTAAGAGATGTCAAAGGTGAGTTTTTTTATTAGCTAAGGTCCGTCGATAAAATTTTTCTGCCCTTGAGCTTTGGTGAAAATACAAATTTTTTTTCTGAGATTTGAGAAATTACATTCTGCCCCCGAGGTTTATATTTTCATAACAAATTGTCCCCTGAGATTTTTATTTTCATACAAATTCCTCCCTAATTTTTTCTAATTTGTTATAAAAATTTGACCTTCAAGGGGCAATTTGTAATTTGCCCATTTTTTTTTAAGAGTATAAGTACTCAAACTTCATTAATTTTTGAAATTGGTCTTGCAGTGAAAACAGTTTTTCCTTCTTTCTCCAAATTTTGATTTATTTTATTTTATTTTTTAAAATTGTTATATTTTTGTTTGTTATTTTTAAAATTTTTGAAAACAAAAATATTTAAGTACTAAACAGTGGTGGAGCCAGGCTTTTAAACTGGAGAAACTTAAAAACCCATAAATTCCAGGAAAAAAAAAAAAAAACATTGAAAACAAGAAAAATGTTTGGTTCCAATTTTTTAAAAATTATTTTTTTTTTTCCATGTTTTTTGTTTTTAATGATTTTTAAACTATTTGAAGTAATTTTTTTTAGAGAAAATTAGTGAAACATCCCTCTTTAACATTATGTTATATGAGATGTCAAAGATGAGTTTTTTTATTAGTTAAGGTCCGTCCATAAAATTTTTCTCTGTTGAGGCTGAATTTTTTTTGAGTCGGACGAAATTTTGCTAAGTTGAATTTTCGTTTTGAAAATGTTGAAAGACTGTAATTATTATGAAAATATTATATGTCCTTTATATTATAAAATCTTAATATTAGGAATTTTAAATTTTTATTTTTTTTCATTTTTTTTTTTACTTTTTAGATGCACTTAATATAAATACAATAAAAAGTACAAAATTTGCGAATTTAAAAAAAAAATCACTAAATACCAAAAATATAAAAAAATATATATGAAAATTCAATTTATTTTCGTATTCTCTTGTATTTATTAATTTTTTAAAATATTTTATTTTTTAGGTATAACTATGTGAAGTACATCTAAAAAGTAAAAAAATTATTTAAAATATTTTAAAAAATTCATTGAAAACAAAAAGTACCAAAAATAAAAAACAATTTTCAAAAACTTGAATTGCGAAAATTGGAACCAAACAATTTTTTTAGCTGATGGATGTATCCTATATTTATTTGTGCAGTCAGCATACGAATTGTTCAAGAAAAATGTGGAGAAAGCTAATGGACGTGATGGAATCGACGATTCTGTTGTAAATGATCGACCTCCTTGTGTTGAGGCATGTTCCAAACAGTTGTGGGTTAGCATGTGTGTTTTACCTTTTTTTGTGAAACATTGGTGTTTGGTAGGTTGTTATTTTAGTAGATTAAAATTTTTGTGTTTTAGAAGATAGTTGGATTTTTTAACTATTTTAGGAGATTAAAATTTTTGTGTTTTAGAAGATAGTTGGATTTTTTTGTAGTTATATGTGATGTTTATGAGAGAAAAAGTGAAATGATTATGAGTTTGATGTGACTTTTATTTTATTGACTATTTTAGTCTATTTTGTTTTTTAATGCTATTTTAGTAAAAAAAGCTAAAAAAACTCTTCCCAAACACCTCTCGGTCTTTTGGCAACAAGCTAAAAAAGCTAACTTTTTGATTTTTTAATTTTTTTTACACAAAAAAGCCAGCTTTTTTAACCAAAAAAACCAACTTTTTTGCCAAAAAAGACACCAAAAAAGTTAAAAAGTGAGCTTTTTACTAACTCCTCAAATCACTATAATATGTTGCTAGCTTTTCTGTTGTGTGTAACAAGTTGTTGAAGATGTGAATGAAATATCACAATGAAATATCACTGCAATGCTCTAGACATCAACAAATAGAAATTGATGTGTCATCTAGTAATTAATTTTCTTCTTTGTTTCAGGTTATAATTGATAACACAGAGGATGGAGTGAAAAACAATTACCAAACTAAGATGCCTCTTCTTGTCTACGTAGCTCGTGAGAAAAGACCATCTCACCCTCATCGTTTCAAAGCTGGAGCCCTCAATGCACTCGTAAGAACTATATATATATGATTTTTTTTTCTCTCTATATGTGTATTTATAATGACAATTAAAATAGCATCGCCTTTGCTGCAGCTTCGAGTTTCTGGGATAATGAGCAATGGCCCTTATGTATTAGTATTGGATTGTGACATGTACTGCAATGACCCAACCTCAGCTCGACAATCAATGTGCTTCCATCTTGATCCCCAAATGTCTCGCTCTCTTGCCTTTGTGCAATATCCTCAAGTTTTCCACAATGTTAGCAAGAATGACATATACGATGGCCAAGCAAGATCAGCTTACATGGTGCTCAAACTTAAACCAATTCCTATTCCATCTATTCCATTGCAATATTTAAAGCCAATGCAAACCTATATGTAAGATTTAGAATTGTTAATATACTTGGATGCAATTTCAGACACTGTGGCAAGGCATGGATGGGCTACGAGGCCCTGTGTTCACTGGTACAGGATATTATTTAAAGAGAAAGGCATTATATCAGAGTCCTAACCAAGATGGTATGCCCCTAAACTTTTTAGAAGTGTTATTGTCATAATGACTAATATACAAACAATTCATGGAGTACTAGGCTCAATTTTTAAATTTTCCCCCTAATATTCTTCTCATCTCTTTTTGGTTTACAGATGCAATTCTTCAAGAACCAAAAAAAAGTTTTGGTTTGTCTAGCGAGTTCATTGCTTCACTAAACACTTGCAAGGTACAAGACACCAATGCTAAGGGAGGTATATCAGATGCAATCTTAGAAGAAGCTAGAAATTTGGCAACTTGTACCTTTGAGAAAGGCACAAAATGGGGCCAAGAGGCAAGTATTAAATCCTACATCAAATTTTCATATATTACAATGTTGGATCAGCTTGAATTTCTTTATTGCCTGGACAACAGATAGGTTACTCTTATGATTCTTTGCTGGAGAGTACATTCACGGGGTATCTTTTGCACTGCAAAGGGTGGAGGTCAGTCTATCTATATCCAAAAAGGCCGTGTTTCTTGGGTTGTGCTACTGTTGACATGAAGGACGCATCGGTTCAACAAATGAAATGGAGCTCTGGATTGCTTCAAATCGCTCTCTCAAGGTTCAGTCCAATCACATATGGTATGTCGAGGATGTCCATCCTGCAGAGCATGTGCTATGGAACCTTCACATTTTCACCCCTTTACACAATTGCTTTCTTGTTATATGGCACCATACCTCAGTTGTGCCTTTTGACTGGCATTCCTCTGTACCCCAAGGTAATTTTTCATCAAATCCTTTTTCTTCTAATTTTCTTTAAGGCATCTGAAAATCACTTAATTAAAGTATGATTACATCTCAAATCCATCTCCTCATATTGCCTATGAGTGAGTCACCCTTGCCTTTCAACAACCTGAAAAAGGTGGGTCAACATTGTCCCACTTGTAAAATTTTTCACTATGTTATTGGTTGAGAGTACCACGGGAACAATAACACATGATATTTTGAGACTACTGAATAATTACCCCAGCCTCTGCCCTTTGCCCTCATAGCCTCTGTCCTTTATATTTCAAGATTCCATCTCATCTCCCCTGCCCTTGGTTCAAAGGGAAATGAGAAGACGTGAGGAGGATCAAAACAGGCCCCCCTGTTTTATGCAGATTACTGGAAGGTAAAAAAACAATAATCTAAAAAAGTAATCCAAAAAAATATTTCTCTCCCAACTTCTCATTAATCGACTCTTTAAAAAAAAAAAACTTATTTATGTCTTTTTTTTTCAATGCCCCAAACACCCTGATACAAACTCTTAGAATTTTTTTAAAAAAACTGTAGGTTTCTTTCTAATTTTGGGATCATTACTTGGAGTTCTTATGCAAAAGTTTGATGAGTGATGATGATGTTCTAATTTAGCCTCTATTGATCTTCATCTTGTTGATTATTTGGTATCTCTTTTGCATTGATCATTAGAACAATTGCTCATCAAACTGTGTTTTGCCCACACTTGTCTTAAAAAAAATTGTGATATATATTTGCAGTATCCTACAACCAATTGTGCTCGACTTGTTTCAGGTTTCCAACCCATGGTTTGCAGTGTTTGCAAGTCTATATGTATCCTCCATTTGTCAGCATTTATATGAAGTCCTCTCTAGTGGCGGCTCGGTTAGGACATGGTGGAATGAACACAGAATTTGGATGATTCAATCGGTCACAGGAATCTTGTTTGGATGTCTAGATGTTATATCAAAGTGGTTAGGCATCACGAAAGCGAATTTCAGGTTGACAAACAAAGCCATCGACAAAGAAAAGCTCAAAAAATATGAGAAAGGCAAATTCGACTTCCAAGGGGCCGAGATGTTCATGGTGCCCTTGACCATATTGGTCCTATGGAACGTAGTTTGCTTTATTGGGGGAGTGAAAATGTTGGTTTTTGAGAGAAATTTTGAAGAGATGTTTGTACAAGTTTTCATGTCCTCTATGATTTTGGTTCTTGGGTATCCTGTGCTTGAAGGGTTGGTACAAAGGAAAGGCAGGTGAAGCTTTGAGGTCTTGGCATTGTCTGCTTTGGAGTTTTAAAAATCACCTCTATGTTTCTCTATTATACGAGGAGTTGACTCTATTTGCCTTGTCTTGTTCACATTTAATATTTTCATTGAGAAAAAGGCCTGTGAAGCTTCGAGGTCTTGACATTGTTCGACTCTTTTTGTGTTCTTGTTCAGAATTATTATTTTCATTGAGAAATAGACCTGTGAAGTGAAGCTTTGAGATCTTGGCATTGTTGGCTTCGGATTTTTAGAAGAGCAATGTGAGGGACTTAAAAAAATTATCAAAAATTTTATATGATACTCACGTGAGTGTGGGACAATGTGAGTGTTGTGTTGAATTTTTGGTAGCTTTTTTAGGGGTTTTTTTTTTCCATTTTTATTTTTAAAAAATCACCTTATTGAGATTTGAAAAAAATACGATTAATCGTATACTTTTGACATAATTATAATGACCTTCTATTTAATAAACTTAAAATGATCAAAATTAATACAGATAAAGAAATTTTGCCGATCAAAAAAAATACAGATAAAGAAATAAACAAAAATAAATATATATTTTAGTAGAAAATAAAGAAATGGTAATAAATTTTTTTTTGATTCACACAACTAACAAATTACATATGAAAAAATACCTATTGTTATGTAAATTAAAATATTAAGGGAGATCAGTTTAATTATGTAAAAAAATATAAGGTTAATTGGATTTTCCTCAAATCTTAAGGAAGACTAGTGT